GCTTTAATTTATTATGAGAAATCATTAAACATAAATCCGAATGATCAATGGACAATAAAATAAAAGAGTATTTTGTTAACATATTAGATTAGAAATTTGTGAGAATAAATTGATGCAATGAGTATTCAATATTAAAAAATAATTATTTTATTATTTCTTTTTCAAATTACTTTATCAAATCTTCTCAGATTTTATCTGAAAGCCTTATAAATTTTTGAGGATTTAGCAAATAAATTTATAAAATATTAAAATTTTAATTCTTTTGATCCCTAAAAAAGATTTATATTTTATATAACTTGTCATTTTTTATTTGATTTCAATTTAATTTTCTTTCCAAGATTTTTTTTAAATCAAGATTTTTATGTTTGAAAGAGTATTTATTTGAAAAACGTCCAGCGAATTTCAGGTCTAAACTTAAACTCTTATGAATTCACTATTTGCAAATTAAAATATGTTTATTTTATCAAGTAATTCTGATTAAATTTGCAGAACTTAAATGTAGAATGGTTCTCTGTATGAGAATAAAATTGTTTTAAATTCAAACTAATGGCAATAGCATTTAATAAGAAATAGAATTAATTATTTTTATTCTTAGTTAAGGTATAAGAATTATCACCAGCCAAATGATAGGTATACTTATCATTATTACAAATGTTAGATATTGATATAATTATTTGATTTAATTTATTGCATTAAAGTCTCATAATCCTTATTAATCTTATAAACGACTTTAAGAGACTAATTATAATTCATGTTCAGATACATTAAACAGATAGAACAAAAACCACTCTTATTTCTCTTTTTTTTTTATAATAAATTTAGAAGTTTGTCAAAATCTAGTTCATGGTAAAATTAATGCACCTGAAGTGAAAATTTTTATTTTTTTTTAACTTAAACCTTTACAAGACTATTTATCTTGTATCTCAGTGATTTAATAATGTAGTTGCGATGAATATATGTGAATAAATATTAGAATTAGAATTACCATTAAAAATGTGACAAATATTAGTGTTTAAGAGAATTAAAAAAAAATTTGATTAGATTCTGAAATAAGAATCTAATAAAAATAAATAATCCTGAAAGTAGCAAACCTTATTGGAATTTAATTGATCTTTAATTTTAGACTATGAGTATTAAATTGTAAAGTGAGTGTGATTTATTTCTAGATTCATTTAATTTTTCAAGAATAAAGTTTAGGAGTCAATAAAATTAAGTTCTTGTAACTGATATTAATAATATTTACCTAAATTCATCTAAAAACATAACTTATATAGTTATTGTTTTTTCTTATTGATGTAGAGAGTTTAGAGAGACCTTAAGAAATGTTATAAGATTGGGACACTCGATTACACATAAAGAAGATTTTTATTCCAAAAAAGGTTATGATGAATAAAAATTTGAGTTATGATTTTTATGTATTAAAAAATCAGGTAAAATCAATAAAACCATAAATTTTTAGAATTCTACTCTCTTGAAAAGCCTAAAAAGTAATTATTATTTTGAGAATCAATGTAGATAATTTTGTTTCTGACTTTTTAGGTTGAAAATTATTGAGTAAATTTTATATAAAGTATAGAAAATTAGACTTGATTTAAAATTGGTGGAATTAAATATTTATTAATTTAAAAAAATTTTTTTTGTATTTTATTTATTTTGAAAAAAAACTCAATAACAAAAATGTTAATAATATATCCTTAAGAATCAAAATAAAAAGAGAGGTACAATTAAAATTAGTTGATTGATATGATGAGAAAAATGCAGGAGAAATTTATTTTCAGTCATTATATAAAGAATATGATTATGCTTATGGCTTATTGATAAAAAAGGCCTTTTTTTATCAACTATTGATTATTGATTGTTGGAATTATTTTAGTATCCACAAAAGAAATAGGTTTGTAAAAATTTTTTATCAAAATGGATCAGTTTTTTTGATTAATTAATGCATGAAATTTTTTTAATAATTTCTCATTTTTTTGTCAAAAATGAAAGTTTATATGATGTGTTAGTATGTTCTAATCTAGAATAAGTAATAAAAAGAATCAAGATATTATTATCAAGAAATATGTACTAGTCTGCCAAAAATTAATTAAAATTAGAAAAAAAGAAATACTCTTTGTTGAAAAAATGAAAATGATTATGTTAATAAAATATTTGTAATTTTTGCTTTTTTTTAAAATCTAATGATACTAAAGGACATTCTTGTATCAATTGTTGTATTAGTTCATGAATGATTGAAAGTTATTGGAAAATTCAGGGTTGGGAAGAATGTATTGTCGACAAATTTGATACATCATAATGTTTCCCCTTTAAGGTTTATGTTCGATGTTATAGAAAAAAATTTACATGGATAAGAAATTATAGTGATGAAACTTAGTTGAAGTTATCTTCTGTTTTTCTTAATTAGAAAAAANACATAACCTATATAGTTATTATTTTTTAGAGTTTAGAGAGACTTTTAAGGAATGATATAAGATTGGGACACTCATATACATAAAAAGAAGATTGATATTGCAAAAAAGGTTTTAATGAATAAAAATTTGAGTATGGTTTTTATTTATTTAAAAAAATCAAGTAAAATAAAAAAACCAGAAATTGTTAGAATTCTATTATCTCGAAAAGTCAAAAAAGTAGTTATTCTTGTGAGTAACAATATATATAATTTTGTTTCTGACTTTTTAGGTTGAAAATTATTAAGTACATTTTATGTAATGTTAAGAAAATTAGATTTGATGTTGAATTGTTGGAATTAAGTTTTTAGTAATTATAAAAAAATTTCTTGTTTATTATTTGAAAATATCTCAATAACTCAAATGCTAATATTATAATTGCAAGAATTAAAATAAACAGAGAGATACAACTAAAAATAGTCGATTGATAAAAAGAAAAAGATATAGGAGAAATGTAATTGCATTCATTATTTTAATAATTTGATTATGCATAGGGCTTATGGAAATAAAGGTTTTTTTATCAACTATTGATTGTTCGAATTATTTTAGTATCCACAAAAAATAAATGTTTGTAAAAATTGTTATCGAAATGGATCAGCTTTTTTTTGATTATTTATAGCTTTAAAAACATTAATAATAATTTAAGTTATCTCATTTTTTTGGTCAAAATTGAAAGATCATATGAACTGTTCGTATGTTCTAATCTAGAATAAGTAATAAAAAGAATCAAGATATTATTATCAAGAAATATGTACTAGTCTGCCAAAAATTAATTAAAATTAGAAAAAAAGAAATACTCTTTGTTGAAAAAATGAAAATGATTATGTTAATAAAATATTTGTAATTTTTGCTTTTTTTTAAAATCTAATGATACTAAAGGACATTCTTGTATCAATTGTTGTATTAGTTCATGAATGATTGAAAGTTATTGGAAAATTCAGGGTTGGGAAGAATGTATTGTCGACAAATTTGATACATCATAATGTTTCCCCTTTAAGGTTTATGTTCGATGTTATAGAAAAAAATTTACATGGATAAGAAATTATAGTGATGAAACTTAGTTGAAGTTATCTTCTGTTTTTCTTAATTAGAAAAAAAATGATTATTTTAAGGTTGATGATAAAAAAATAGAATATCAATAAGGAAAAGTTTCATAGTATAACCATTAATTTATTGCACATTTAATCAGCATGGGATAATAAACAATTTCTGACTCTAAAGACATTTCCACTTAATCAGATAATCCTCATCTATATTCTAATTAAATAGTGACAGCAAATCTTGAAATAAATATTCTATTTTATAATATTGTATTATATTATTTAGCTTGTAATTTTGAATTGCCATAATTCAAATATTCGTGAGTGAATCAAAAATCCTTCTAAATTTCTTATGATAACTATTATATCTTTGGCTAAAGATTTAATATGTTAATTACCATCTCTCCGGTGAACCACCATCTTGAAATTCAAGAAATAAATTATTAATCTTTCGTTTTCATGAAGTACCTCTCTTCTTTTGATATTCGATTATCTATCCAAATTTTAGAGTATTTGTGTCAATATATATTTATTATTCTTACATATTTTAACTTAAAATAATTTACATAAATTTGATTATTTACATTCTCTCCCCATACCTGACAACAAGTAGTTAATAAATATTTTATTTTCACTAAACCTAAATTCAGATCCTTTCAAATAATTTTAGGATGAAGAAAATGTAATCAGATTAACAAGAGATGATTTAGTGTAATATTTATTAACATCATTATTTTAAGCCAGTTAATATTATTCTATAAAAATTGTGGCTTATTAGAAAGAAAAAAGATTGAGAAGGAATTGAATAATAAATCAAACTTTATGCATAAAAATAACAACCTTTATAAATTTTAACTGAAATGAGTAGTATATTTATATATAAAGTTAAAATTCAAAATGTTCTCATGATCCAATAACAATAGCAGAGAAAATTTCTACCATTATTTCTTACATGTGACTTTGTGAATAATGTTCATAAATATTTTAATATAGAGAAAAATATTTAGTGAAATTTGTATCATTGTATTCAAATAATAATCTTTAAAAACTTCAAAAATAATTAGAAAATTATAATTAACAAAAATAATTATTCTGCTTTTTATGTTCAAAAATTAAAAAATATTTGTATAGAATCATTAGACCAAAAAAGAAAAATAAAAAAATGTATTTTTCTAAAATGATTATATTATAAATTAAGGGTAATTCAAATAAATTTCTAGATTAATAAAACTCATTTTAATCAGATAAGAATAAAATTAAGAGTAGAAAAATAAAAAAGTAAAAATTTATTAGGTTTTAATTTATGATGCTGGAGAAAGAAAAAATAAAATTGGGGTGTCGATGATTATTGCAAGAATTTGAATGTGGATATGATTGCCTAATTCCTTGCTGCCTTTGGAGTGGATCTCCTGACTTACAAACCACTTCTCAATATTCTTTCGTTCACTGAATCTGAAGGGAGAGAACTCAAGACTTGGTAAGTCTCTAAGTTAGCTAAATTGGCTAGTTTGATATGAATTCTTAAACAAAATTGAATGCCTTCCATTCCTTAAGGGGTACTTTCGCTAAAAATTTGGATTATAGTTTTGAATATCCAAGGATGGTCCATGATAGACTAATATATTTGCATCAACTAAGAAGTACATAAATTTGAGGATTCTTATTTAGATTTTCATGAGTTCAATCTAAGCAAAGTTTTTTGACAAAATGATAAGGGAGTCTTGAGGTTAATATATAGTTAAGATTATGTAAATGAAGGAAAATAGATATTTAAAAATATTTTTCATTAATAATTTTATTTTATAGAGGATTATTTTAGGAATTTGTAAGATTTTGTCTGACTTTTGTAAATTAATTATGTAAGAGTATATGGGTAAGTTTATTGTTTAAATGTTAAACCTCTTTATGATTTACTTTACTCGATTTATTTAAACTAGATGAAGTAGATAGAAACAGAATGAAAAATTATTGGTTGAGTTTTTGATTGAGACTTTGTAGGTTTCGTATACATAAGATGATGTACTAGCATTCCTTTTGATAAAGAATTATGAGATGCTGTTAGAACCTTTATTCTATTCAATTGTCAAAGTTTTAGATTATTTTGTACTTGTTGATAGAGTCAGAAATGTTTATATATTCTGGAATAAAAGTTAAAGAATTTTTACTTCCTATGATAACACCCCAGGCTAGGTTTAGCTTAATGATGAAATAAACATCTTTCTAATAATGCTATACGTTTGCCAAAGATCTTGAACAAAATATTCAAAACTAAATTAAAATTTGATTTTCATGATCTGATGTTAAATCCAATATTATTTGCGAAATTAAGGAAAAAATTCAATATGTTTATTGGCTTTCATCATTATAATTTCCTGCTATTTAGTTTAGAATTGGGATTATATAGGATTAAGCCCAAAGCATGAAAAGGGCAGATCCAAGAGGTAAAGGAGTAAGATTATCTATATAATAGGTTTAGGTTAAGAGTGAAATTATTAGATTTTATGTACACATTTGCATAGGACATCAGTATATCAAAAGTAACTTTTTCGAATTATCTTGCAATTATAACCATTCTACATTTTAAATCACAAATTTAATAATAACTGAATAAGCTATTTAATTTCAACTTTAAAAACTAAAATAATTAAAAATGAAATTGATATTTAAATCAGTCCAACTCCAATTTTATTCATCCTCATCATAAAATCCACCACAACTAGAAAATATTAAATATATTATACATTATCAAACCATAATATAAAGTTTACCAAAATCCTATTTTCTAATTGGTAAACTTGGCAATACCTAATATAAATTAATAAAAATAACTTAAAAATGATGATCGAATTCAACCCATAATCCCATTTTATATTAAATTCATTATAGTTTCCTCTAGCTAATGATCTTTCTCCTTTCCATAATGCAATCCATTCCCTATTTTCTGATTATTTTTTTCATAATTTCCTTCCAAATTCAAAAATTAATTTGTCCAAGATGTTCAATATTTTAGTGTTAATATTCAATTTTACAATTTTATTACCTATAAATAATATAAAATATTAAAAACTTTCTTAATATTTATCCATTATATATAATTGTCTAAGTTCCATTTTTAGAATATTCAATTACACTTAGACTATCCCAAAAATTTATCAATATTTATAAGGTTCATACTCTGCTTAATTTTCCTTACAATTCAAAATCCTTTCTTAGCAATCTGAATATGGATTGATAATTTATTTAGAATGAAATAAAAACATGCACATACATATAGATTATATCTTTCTATATCTTTGATGATTACTAGTGTATCAATTCTAATCTAAATAATTTAAAGTTCTAGAGAAAATAAATTTATTTTTGATAACAAGTTCTTTTGTATTATAATCTAAATTTAATGGAAGATAAATTTAGTTATATTGAAAATCATTCAATAAATATTGGATTTTGAAAAAGATACTTGTATGATTAATAAGTTAACTGTCAAGAATGTCCTTAAAAACATTTAATAAGTGACAACATTATTGTTTACATATAATTAAATAATAATTAATAATGATTAAAAGTTAATATAAATATTATTAAAACCCAGTTTTTACCCATGAATTCATACTTAAATATTGAAAAATAATGTATTTATAATAAATATTATAGATAAAAAAAGGTATAAATAAAATTCCATATTTCATTTGATATAATCATCTCATACAATCAATTATTTCAATCCATATTAAAAAAATTCATAAAATATAATTAAAAAAGTGATATTACAATTGAAAAGTTGAGTATAAAATATTATAATAATTATTGTTAATGTTAATGAAATCTGAATTATAATCATAGTTTATACCTTTAACTTTTCAATCTCAACCTTAATACACATCTTAATAAAAGATCTGCAATGCTATGGCAATCAATCACAATAATAATATTTTCGTAATTGCGGCATCTTAATTTTTAATTATAAAGATCATTAATCAAAGTTATGGAAATACTTAACTCTTTTACTAGTAACATAATCAATCTTCCTTAAATTCAAATTTAAGATCAGCATTTTGGTTTCATAAACACACTAACTTCTTTAAGAAAACCCCTCATTATCTCAGTTTCTTAAAATAATCAGATTATTATTTGCCAATTAGAAATTATTAAATGTTCAAAATGCTGGATACTTATATTCAAATTAAAAGAATACTCATCTTCTATTAATTTTTTTATTTCTTAAACCATTGTGAATATCTAATTATTAGTACTTGTGATAAACAAATTAAATTTTGATTTATTAAGGTTGGGAATGTTTCTAAACAATCAATGAGCATAAGAGTTATATTTTTGGATTATCTATTAATTAGGATGGAAATGGAGTAATGTCATGTTTGTACTCTAAATTAAAATTTAGCATCTGCTTATAAACATTTAAATAACCTATCTATTTAAACTTTCCTGAAAAAAACAATAGCTTCCAAACATTAAATTGATACCTCAACAGAATTCGATAAGAAATATTTGATAACTATTGGCCCTATTTTTGGATTACTTTAATACCATAATTGAAGTTCTAGATGTACTGCGTTGATAACATAAAGCTTTCTTTTTCCTCTATTATTCCTAGAGAGATAATAAATAAAGGAAAGTCTAGTTAAAGGAGGATATTGTTATTGTTCTCTTTACTTTCCTTCGAGTTATATCAATTCATAAAATTTATTTGTTTCAAAAGAATGGTTACAATTTGAATTTTTAAAGATTTATTTATTCACATAATTAATTTCAAGATTTTGATGCTCATGAGAATCATCTATAGAGTATGATTAAAAGGATATTGAGGATACATATATAGTACAATTAGTGAAGATTGAAAACATTTAATAACATGAGACTTTATATCAGAACAAATCTAGTTCAGAACTCAAATGATTAAGAATTGAATTAAATTATAATTGAAATAGAGTCTAAAATATAATCTTATATCTTAATATTCACTTAAATATTATATTTATTTTTATTTACTATACACTCAAACATTAGTAAAGTTAATATCATATATTTTATCTGAGAAAGGTTGATTTATGCTAAATTGAAAATCAATAAAAAATAAAATAATGATGTTAAATAAAAAATAAGACAACAATAAATTGTAAGAATTAATTCAAATTAGTATAAACAACATAAAAATTGAATAGATTAGGCATATCCCAAATATAGGGTCCTGTCTAAATTGAGTCAAAGATCCTTTCTAATTAACTAAAATTCCCTAAGATAATTTATGCATAAAGATAGATTATTTGAAATTTAGTTCATAAAATAAGATAGATATTAAAGTAAATAATTATAATTCTTATATGTAAAATATAAACTTTATTTTTAAAAGGTATTTCAATTCGTAAACATGAAATGATAAAGTTTAATCATTCCAATCTATTACATAGTTTCTATCCTCGGTAAAATTTCCATAATTTTTGCAAGATCTACAATCAATTGGTTCACTTTGAATATTAAATGATTAATTTTGATAACTAGATATTGACATATTTGTTATGCTTTATGATAAATATTTACTTAGTATTATTATAAATAGAAGGAAATAACGATTATCCATCTTTTAAGTCTAAACAACTCTTTTTTGTCAACAAACTTTTCTATTTCTTATTTAAATATATGAATAGAACCCTAATTTTCTTGGCATCAAGCAACTGTATCTTTATTAAGAAAAAAAACTCTAAATCCATTATCATTTTTCAAATTTTCTAAAACTTACTTAAACTTAAATTTTCTTTCATTTGCCTTCTTTTTCCAAATTATAATTGTTTTATCATCACTAAATGAGACTAATTGTGTTTCATCTTCGATTATAATCATTTAACCAATATGTTTACTATGTTTATTAAGCTAATAATGAAACATTAACTAATTTTTATTTGTATTTAAAGTCCAAACCTTAATTGATCCATGACCAGAAAATATTAAATTTTCTCTTTAATTTAATAATAAACACTATATAATTGACTAAGCGTCACAAGGTTATGATGGTTCCCAATAAATTGAATCAATTAACCATCTTTTTCCTTCCAATAATTTTAAAATCTATACTTCCAGTAATAAACCAATATATCTTTTTACTAAAAATAATACAAGTGACATCAAAATTATGACCTTTTCAGGTTACTCATGAATATCCGTTTTCAAAATTCCAAATCTTTACATCTTTTTTAGATGCTCCAGCCATTATTGAACCATATTTATTAAATACAAGTGCAAAACACAATTATTCTTAATACACTTCTGAAATTTAATGATAAGTTATCTCTCTTTATGATGAATCTTTGTCAAAAATAGATCCAATCGTACACTCTATTTGATTAACTTATACTTTTTATTGGTTTAAGGTCTTCATAATATAGTTTCTTCTAAAGTAATATATGTTTCTTTTCTTTTCTATTATATTTATAATTTATTTGATTATAGCGACAGAACTTTCTAATTTATTTTAGTAATTCTTATTTATTTTATTTATTCTCTCTGCTTCGAATATAATTATTCTTCATCACATTAATCTTCATATTTTATTTAGTTCATCTTTATATTAATGAGAATTCACTATTACAATGTCTAGAACTTTGGTTAGGTTTTCTTTATGTTGATATAAGTATTTATTAAATTAATCAATTTCATAATTTTTTTATTTTCTTAAAGTATTAATCTAGTTATTCAACTTCTCCTTAATTATAATTAAAAATCTATACTAATTCATTATTTAATGTTATATTTTAGTTTTCTTTCTGTTCTTCTAAGCAATTCAGCACAAATTAATCAACCTTTCTTTTAACTTGAATTGTTATTTATCAAGCACCATTAGAACTGAACAATCCTTATGTTGAAAAACACTTTCGATTGGGTTGACATTTTTAATCATTTAAGATTCTTAATTAAAGAAATCAATATCATCTTCTATGCTTGATTTTATGAATAAAATTTCTGATATTAATTATTCCAAATTTATGAGAAATTTCAATAAATTGTTAAAAAGGTTTAATCATTAATATCAATTATAAGCCATTCTATAGAATTAGATAAATCATAATACAACACTTCTTTATATCCTAATAATCCCCAATATTTGAAACCATGATGAGCTCTAATTCTCAAAGGAGAATTCATCAATCCTCAACCATTGATTTAAATCTTTTATTGAAATCCAAAGATAGCTGTATTTTGGTAAAACAAATTACAATCAAAGTTCAAGTGTGAAATCAACTTCTAAATTTTTACTAAATTTATCAATATCCATATCGAAGATAAGTGTGTAATTTAATGATTTAATTATTCTTTACTAGATAGAATTATACTCTCTTATATAATTAAAATAATATATAAATGAGGAATCATTTTTTTATTAGTTTACTAATTCTATCGATTAATATTATTACTTAAAAACTAATACTAAATCTTATATATATATATATTAAGATTAATATACTAATATACATCTAATATCTATAATATCTCTAATATATCTCAAAACACTAATAATACTAAATTATTATTACTTATTTTTTATTTAATAGAAATCTAAATCATTAATTTAAATGTCTTTTATTTTATTTTCCTAAATGCAATCTGTATAAGCACCTGAATAGAAAGAACCCAAGTTCCAAATTTGTCAAATTACCAGATGCCCCTCAAGTGAAGATAGAAGTGATCATCATATCACTCCTGATGAGACCAAATCATATAGGTAAAAAGAAGTGTTTAATTAATTAATTAATATAGACGTGTGTAATAGAAGGTAGAAGTAGTACAAGAAGAGCAGGAGGTATTTGAGAGATAGGAGGATCTCTTACAAATTTTACCTAATGCTAATTAGATTATAATTGATGATGATGACTCATCATCAATATTCAAGAAACTCTTAGATATGCTCAAGAAGGAGTAAATTAAAGATTGTGTGGCATATCTCTAATCACTTAAGAATTCAGATAAAAAGGAAAAGGAGCAAATTAAGAAGATATTAAATATTCCGAGAGATTAAAAAGGATCTGATGAATAAGATATAAGGTGATAAGAAAATGATTGAGTTACTAAAATTTTTAGTCCAAATTACAAGTATAGAGGATCAATTCATCTAATGTGGATCCAATTCACTTCATATGCTGGTGTGAAAATATTCTTTAAATATAGATTTTTAATCTCTAATTATTGATTAAATTTTTTCAGATGAACTTTCAACATCAATTTAGATAAATAGGAGTTACTACATGCATTAACTCTCTATTTCTTTAATTAAGGTTTTTAATTGCTTAAAATGTTTGCAATTGATATAATATCTTCCTTGTCTAAATATTACCAATCCTTTTTTAGAAGAAATCTATTTTCTTTAAAAATCCAATTCTAATTTTATGTTATTAAATTAATCTTTTCAATGCAACCATCAATTCATTAACAAATTTAATCTTTAACTTATAACAAGCTTTCAATTGCTTTTCCGATCTATTTATTAATGAATTTATCATTTTTGTTTATAGAACTTTAAATTTCCAGAGATTGATTTTCCCAAAGCTTTTTCAAAGTATCAAGTGTAGTATATTATGTAAAATATTATGGCACACATTTCATACATGCTACTCTAGATGGAACTACATTAGATTAATTTAAATCTACATAGTAAATCTTATCTTTATGTTCCTCACATATCCATTAATTATTAATATCAGACTCATTATTAAAATTATACTTCATATATAAATCTTTAAAAGCATTTTCCTAAAATTTTTATTCATCAATGTTTATCTAATTAAGTATTTTTTCAGATTCATTTTACAATTATGTATAATTAACTTTTTTGATATATTATAGCAATGAGACCTATATATTTTTATATATGGAGGTTTCTTAACATATCAATTTGGAAAAGGTTTAAAAATCCTCATTATTACTAATTTATAAGGTTTCTTGAGATTCCTCTTTAACTTTCTTTATTAATTCAACTTAAGTATCGATATATGTTATTGCAATGTTCATTACATCTGAAATTTAATTTCTTTATTTTTGAAGGTAGTTCTTGATAGAGTGTAAGACTTCTAAGTTCTTATTTCTCTTCGTTTAAATTTCCCTCATGAATTACAATTTTACTAAAGAAAATTGCTTTTCTAAGTCTTCTATGAGCATTAAATTCTTATTCATGTTTACAATACATTTCTAACACAGCTTTCTATTTTTTAATTCACTAAATGCTGAACCATAAAAAACTACTTTCTATTAATGTTCTGGGCAAAAACTCATTTAAACAAATAATCAAACAGTTAAATTTCTAATAATCTTTATCATATACTTTAAATTAAAATCACATTAATAATTATCATTTATAAAATGTTTTATAATCTCTTATAAATTAAAAAAAGTAATAAATAATATGAATTAAGCAGAAAGTCTATTATATTTAATTGTCAAAATTTAATATAGAATTAATTGAATTATATCAATTTTACTTGATTTAAATTAATTTTATGAAAGTTAAGAAATTTCAACTAATTTTAAACTTCATAATTTTAATATACTTTTTTAGGAATGATTCATATACAAAGAATAAACTTCGAAATATAATCAAATGATGGATTAATTATTTTTTTTAATATTTTTTATTATAAATATTTCAAGGTGAATAATGAAGCGAAAGGAATTATTAGATTTACAAGATGAATGTTAAATTAAAATAATACAATAATAAATATGGTGATAACTTTTTTTAATAAAAATATTATAAAGCAAATTAATAATAAAAATAATGAAACATTTTCAACCAGATTCTTGCTTATAGCATAATAAAAAGGCTATTTTCTTAAATTAATCAGAAGTTGATCCATAGTTTAAGAATTTATGTCTTCAATGTGTTTCAGAATTAAAAAATGAATTAATTGTAATCGACGATTTCTAATAATCAATATAAGAACTTATAATTAATTTGATTAAACAACGAGAATAACTTAATTAAAATAACCTTTAGTGTTTAATTCATTTGAAAGATTGCATTTTGTAGTTCAAAATGCAATAAATAATATCAATTGAAAAGTATATTTAATGTATTGATTAATAAATCAATATAATGGATGAGTTTTAAAAATAAATATATGATTACTAAATTCCAATAGACAATGTTGATTAATTTCTTAGTAAATATACTGAAATTGAATAATTACATATAAATTATGAAGGTATTAGGGATGTTATAATGAGCAATCTTAACTCAATTCAAATATAAGATTTTATGCCATAATTTTAAGAAATTATAAATAACCTTATATTTGAATCTTAGACTGATGTTGTTGTTACTCTATCACATATAAAATCTCACATTTTCCCTAAAAATTATGATAAAGAAAAATTGAAAATATTTTGTGAGAAACATAATAGATAAATATTAATGTTGGACTTAAATAAATAAAAAACACTTCAAAATAGATTAGCTTGCATTGATTGTATTGAAGAATATGCAATCAAATTCACAAAACTAGAAAATTTTGAATAATAATGGAAAGATTATTAAAATACAATCTAATAAGAGAATAATAAATTTAATGAGAGAATCACTAATACTAACAAAACCATATTGCAATATATGAATGATTTTTATAAACTATTGTAAAATGAATTGAAATATACTCAAAAATAATTGACCGATCATGCAAATGATTATCGGATGAAGACAAGACAACCCATATTCAAAACCATATTCCAATTTTCAAAAGAAGAAATTTTTGAAATAGCTGAAGAATTAAGTAATTAAAATAACTAAGAAAAATTAACAAAAGAATTTGAATCTCAATATCATAATTTTAAAATATAGTCGGATAAGATCTTGGAGGATTAAGAGATTATTATATAACAATTATATAAAAAGATGTAAAAATAAATATAAGAATCTTATTATAATATTATAGATTAACATAATATTAATTAATAAAAAATTAAACCTTTTAAATATGAAATCATGAAATAGAATTGTATTAAATAGTAAGAGTCCTGTTATGCATTAGCTTTTAATAATGATTCATCAATATTAATTGCCGGTTGCAATACAAAAATCAAAATATACTAATTTATAAATGAAGAATTAAAAGAAAAGTAAATTATTTCAGAACAAAAAGAATTTACATGTTTAATATTTATGAAAAAGAGAAACCATTTTATATCAGGAAGCAAAGATGGATCTATTATAATTTGGTCAATTGATAATAATTAATAATGGTATTATTAGTAAAGATTGGAAGAACATAATGAAAAAATACTTTGCTTAATTTTAAATGAATGTGAGGATCTTCTTATTTCTAGTAGTTGGGATAAAACTATCAAGTTCTGGAATAATACAACTAAATGGATAAGTACTTAGACTATTTTAGACCACAATGAATAGGTTTGGAGTATTAGTATGAGTCCATCATAAACCAAATTGATTTCATGTGGAAATGATAGAATTATTCTAATATTAGAACATAAAAAAAAGGAGAATTTTTGGATAATAGTATAAAAGATAAATGTAGAAGTTAGAGGATATAGAATTTGTTTTTTAAGTGACAACTCATTTGTATTTTAATAATGGATTTCAAATTTGATGAATTTCTACTAATATGATGAAACAAAAAATGAATTTAAAAAAAAGAGAGACATAATTGTAAAGTCTGGTAATAGTTGTGATTATTTATCACCTTTATAATATATTGACAATAAATCATTACTTGTAAATAAAAATGGGTTTCATATAAATATGATTCGAAGAAATGAAGAAGAAACTCTTAAAACAGAGTTTACTATAAATTTTGATACAAATTATATATATATATCAATTAGTAGAGATGGAGAATTCTTAGCAACTTGGGATAACAAAACATAAGAAATATAAATAAGAAAATTTTTGATTGATTGAAAATAGTTATAGAATAATAAGTATATTTAAATATTTAAACTAAAATCATAATTTATCAATTAAATCGCTTCTAGTATCATTTCTAATCATAAATTTATTGAAATTTTGTTTTAATATTGTTATAACACCTTGAAGATAATTAAAAATACTAATAATCTAACTATAAGTTATTAAATTCTTTTGAAACTATCATAAATATTTATATATCTAAAAATTTTATTTTTAAATTAATAAAATTGATTAGTTATCAAATTTAGTTTATTACATATAAAGTTATTTGATNATACAAAAATCAAAATATACTAATTTATAAATGAAGAATTAAAAGAAAAGTAAATTATTTCAGAACATAAAGAAGATGTTACATGTTTAATATTTATGAAAAAGAGAAACCATTTTATATCAGGAGGCAAAGATGGATCTATTATAATTTGGTCAATTGATAATAATTAATAATGGTATTGTTAGTAAAGATTGGAAGATCATAATGAAAAAATACTTTGCTTAATTTTAAATGAATTTGAGGATCTTCTTATTTCTAGTAGTTGGGATAAAACTATCAGGTTCTGGAATAATACAACTAAATGGATAATTACTTAGACTATTTTAGAGCACAATGAATAGGTTTGGAGTATTAGTTTGAGTCCATCATAAACCAAATTGATTTCATGTGGAAATGACGGAATTATTCTAATTTTAGAACATAAAAAGAAGGAGAATTTTTGGATAATAGTATAAAAGATAAGTGTAGAAGTTAGAGGATATAGAATTTGTTTTTTAAGTGACAACTCATTTGTATTTTAATAATGGATTTCAAATTTGATGAATTTCTGTTAATATGATGAAACAAAAAATGAATTTAAAAAAAAGAGAGACACAATTGTAAAGTCTGGTAATAGTTGTGATTATTTATCACCTTTATAATATATTGACAGTAAATCATTACTTGTATAATAAAAATGGGTTTCATATATATATGATTCGAAGAAATGAAGAAGAAACTCTTAAAACAGAGTTTACTTTAAATTTTGATACAAATTATATATATATCTCAATTAGTAGAGATGGAGAATTCTTAGCAACTTGGGATAACAATATATAAGAAATATAAATAAGAAAATTTTTGATTGATTGAAAATAGTTATAGAATTACAAGAATATTTAAATATTTAAACTAAAATCATAATTTATCAATTAAATCACTTCTAGTATCATTTCTAATCATAAATTTATTGAAATTTTGTTGTAATATTGTTATAAAACCTTGAAGATACTACTAAGTTATTAAATTCTTTTGAAACTATCATAAATATTTATATATCTAAAAATTTTATTTTTAAATTAATAAAATTGATTAGTTATCAAATTTAATTTATTACATATAAAGTTGTTTGTATAAGATTTAATAAAGGATACAGATCTAGTGTTTTATCGAATCTGATAGACTTATATATCAATACCTATATTTACATAATTAGAATTAATCGCGAATTTAATCCAAGTGATTTTAGATTCCTTCATATTCACTTCAACAATTATTGATCATTGACTTGAAAAGTAAAACATAAGATGTTTGAGTTTAAATTTTTTTAAGATGAATGGGAGAATGCACTTCCATGTGAATTTAAGTGATAAGTTCTATATAAGTTATCTGTTAAATTGGCCCATGGGCAGATTAATTAAATATATCAACATTATATTTATTTTAACTTTAAATTTCTTTGTTCCCTACGCACAATGCTATATATGAAACTTGATGTATAAGCCTTAAAGCAAATTTAGCAATTCCAGTTTTTGGAATCATAGGCTGACCTATTACAAAATTTGCCTTTTTTAAACAACTAACCTTGTTACCATTAGTTGTAATCTCTACATCTGAAATACGTAATTCTATTGAAAAACTAATATCCAAAAATTTAGGAATGTTTTATTAATGTATATGTTTCATGTTTTAAAGTAGAGTATTCTTATGATTTATCTTTTATTTCGTAAATGATATGATTCTCTAACTAATTGATTATATCACTTGATTATCGATTATTATATTATTGATAGTCTTGACCCAATAGTTCATCACTTTATTTTAAAGATAGCTGAACCATATAATATTTTTTCTGTTTTAATCATGTCTTTAATAAATTAATCTAATTACGTTATTCCAAATTGATCTAATTTGTTAATAAGATTTCTATTAATGCTAAACAATCTGTTATATATTTAATGCTTATTCAAATTTTATGAAAAGTTTTTCAACCAATCATGAAAATTCTTAACAATTAACAATTTGGTTTTGAATTGTGAATGAGATTCTTCATAACATATTTAACAGAATGGCCTTTTTTCTTTACGTTCTTAATCAATGCATACTCCAAAAATAGTTTAGAATAATGATTCTCTTTTTTGAAATTTAATAAGGTGCTTCTCATTTTTATATATTTTAATAATAAATCTAATTAAGGATAAAACATTAATTAATGAAGATATCAATTTATAGAATCTTAGTGATAAAGAAATGTTATTAAAATTATATTGTAAATATTTATTTTCAAGTAATTTTTTTTAATATAGATAAGTATAATGATTATGATAAACACAAAAATATAATTTATGATTCCAAAATTGAAATGGTAATACTAAATATTATTTAGTATCAAACTTATGTTTCAGTCGGTACTTATTGTCTTGATTTTTAATTTAATATTTGTTTTTATCATTTATGAAATTTATCAGATAAATAACATCAGGAACATTGTGAACATTCCATAAAATACTGAAATCCATGCAAAATTAACATCAATTAATGTGAAATCAGATTAATTACTTTAATGAAATCTTACTATACAGTAACAATAAAAAGAAAAAATCCATTTGAAAACTACTTGTCCTAATCTAAAAACAATAAAATAAACCAAAATTCAGATAGCTTTAATTCTTCAAAATATTTAATAGCAGATTTGATTAAAAAAATAATAACTCTAGCAATTTCTAAAAAATTATTAAATTCAAGAAAATTCATAAAACTATTAATGCCATTTAAAAATAAATTATTTTTAATTAATTATTTTGCATTGAGAAGCCTAATGTTGTTATTTTTTTATTACAAACATAAGTTTAAACATCAAAAATAAGAATAGATTTGTAGTTAAAATAAACCAACTCTAAATTATAATGGATATTTGGGCATTAATTGAGAGGGTATTGAATTAGCCTATTAATAATAATTTATAGCTATTAATTTACTTCTATAGAATATTAATATTTCATTTATCTAACGCAATTCTCAATTTAATTCATTAATTTATTATTTTTGAGTTTTTTAGGCAAAATAACAAATTTTAAAAAATATTACTATAAGTTTACTAAATTTCAATATAATACTGAATCTTGAATTTATTGTTAAAAAGTACAATTTTTTGGAAAGTAATTTGAATTTAGACAAGATTTCTGTTATTTTTCGTAAAAAATTTTTGGTATTTCAAAAATATAACACAAACGATATAGACTTAATTAGTTTAATTGAAATTCATTTAAATAATGAATAAGAATTATTGATAATTTGAAGATTTCCTAATAATTTTTTTGCATCAAATTTAAAAAACTAAGTTATTTAAGGAAATAAGGAATATCTAACTATTGGAATTTAACCTAAGATTTCAATTAAGCTTAAGTATTTAAATGAAATTTTTGATTAATATTTTGCGATAAAATACAATTTACAAATAGGATTTTTTATCTATGATAATCCAATCGTTTTATTTATTTTTACTCAAAAAGTTAATAATTGAGTATAAAATAAGTTTTTAACTAATTCATTCAAATAAGTTTATTTAGATATTATACTAAAATTATCAGCATAATAGCCAGTTATTCCTTTAAATATTAAAGGCAATTAGTATCTCAATTTAATTTGATTTTTTATTATTTTAAAAAAGATTAGAATTCCAATCTTGATTACAATATATTGTTTGATTGAAAAATAGAGTAAAGCGAAGGGGATTCGAGGATCTTCAAAAATTTTGTTAGATAAAACAAGATAGTATTTAAAATTATAATGATCAATAAATTTTTAAAACATTAATAAATAAAAAAAATAAAATCTAAATTATTATGTAATATTTTAGTTTTAATACAAATAATACGAAATATGAATTATTATTCAGATTTTAACTATTTAAACATTTGATATATTCATTATGATTTTTTCATATTATTTATAAGAGGAAATATTATGAACGGATAAAATAAGTAAGAATAGATGCTATTTAAGTTTTAAAAGAATCTAGTCTTAATTCTAGAAACATAGTAAAATTATCTAAAAATATATCTATAACCTTGTATAAAGTTTGAATCTATTATTTCGGGACACTATGTCTTGATGATAATCTAATTTGTAGTAATCTTTATAACAACTATTTTAATGTTAATAAGCAATTATACTAATGAAATCAATAATTTATGCACATTATTAATTATATTCCTATTTGTTCTATTTGGATGTACATTATATAAACAAAAATAATTTATTGATGTTACAAAAAGATTTAATAATAATGTCCAAGAATATGAATTAAACTAGAAGATCTATGAACCTACCATAAAATTCAATTACTTCTATACTAATTAATAATAATTTAAAATAATTAAATGGATATATTTATATATAACAATCAATATTTTACTCATAAATTAAAACTTTATACTCTTAAAATATTAAGATTCAAATATTTAAAACGATAATATAGAGATTTCATAATCTGAATATTTACTAAACATAATTAATATCATAATTGAAGAACCAATGCTTAGTGTTTTATTCATACTTTGTTCAATAATAGCTTTTATTTTTATCATTTAGAACCATTAAAATTATTCTTTTTTATTTTCTTAATCTATTAAGAATGTTCCATTCCGATTTATTATTACAAACATTATAATATCAGTATTTATATTTACATAATTTTAGAAATTTCAAAAACTGTTACTAAAGCGTAGATATTTTGTTAAATATCTATTTTTAATAATCTAAGTAAATCAATAGCATTAATTATTTTTTTGAAATTTACAGAAAATTAAACTTCTTATCTATTAATTGGATCAAGTATCTTTTATCATTTATTTATGAACATATTTTTAATTAAATTATTTTAATAAATTAATCATTTTGCTTCAATATATTAAAATGTGAATGATATAAAATGAATTAAGGATTAAAATTTATGTTTTGATGATTATTTTATGTTTATAAATTCAATATTAAAGATTAAGAATTTTTAAAATAAACTCTTTTAGTTTTTCCTTATAATTTATGTAATATTGACTATAGATGGAAGTATTTTTTATGATAGAAAATTAATAAATAAATTCTTTTATGATGGTTTCATTTATTTTGATTGTGGATTATTTTAATTGGTAATACTTACCCTATTGATTATTGAATATATTCTAAAACCATTTTGTTTTAATTTAAATTTTTAAGAGTGCTTGTAAAATTAAACCTAAGTTTTTAAGAATCAAGAATTCATATAAATTGTTCCAGAATCGATAGAAATATCACTTTGATAAATACCACTTAAAACAGATCATTTTACTACAAAGTAAAGAATGAATATCTAAAGAAACAATAGTTTTCATTAACTATCATTTTTGTCCCTTACATTTATCAAAAATTATTTTATTTATAATGTGGATCTGTAAAATAAAATAGTTGATTGTACAATTTGTTTAGAATAAATGACTGATTATCAATTAGAGATTGTTTAATTAAAATGTCATAATACTCACATTTTTCATGAGAAATGTATAAGAGATTGGTATCATAAAATAAAAATTGTCCACTTTGTAATACAAAATTTTTGATTTAGTGAATCAAAATTATTTTTATTTCAACATTCTTAACTTTTTTAGAAATATTTTTTATGAATTTTAAGTTTAGAAATTTTCGCTTTATTAATTATTATAAGATCCTAATTAACTATAACTAATATATTTTAAAATAAAATCAAATAATTTTAATAATTTTTATATTAAATAATGATTTTGAGAAGATCTTAATTTTTCATCATAAATTTTTGTGCTCTTGAAATCCAATCGTAAAAGCTGTTTATAAAATAATAAAAAACTTCGGTAACATAAATAATATTATACTTTTTCGTATAATATAATTCTTGTAAGGAATATATCAAAACTATTTAATGTATTCAACCAGTAGCAAATTAATTAAATAATTAAATTCTTATGGATAAATATTATATGTTTAAAAATTGAGTTTTAATTTTGAATAATGGATTGGTATGTGAGAAAACGATTTATAATATGATAATGAATTCATATTAAAGAGGAATGAAAGTAAATGATTGAAAATTAGTTATTTTTCATTGAACTCATTATTAAATACCTTATTACACCTAATTTGGCACAATAAAAGGATTTATAATTAACTTTTAACATGAAGCTAAAAGCATCTTTCTAATTCAAATAATAGGTCACTTAGATCTACTAATTAAAAAAAATAATCTTAATACTTCAAAATAGTGTCTATTATGGATTATCTTGCAATAGATATCACTAAAATAATACTTACACTCTTTTTTGTTAAATTATGTTATTCTTTCTTAGGCTTCTCTCAGTTTGATAATTTGAATTCTTAAATATTTATATTTTGTTAATTTAATGATAAAATTCTGATAAAATATATATTCATTTACTTTGATTCTTCAGCATATCAAATATTATAATTATTAATTAACAATCTAACTTAAAGGTATAATCCTAAGCTAGATGATTTAAATAAAAGCAGTTTAAGAACAAAAACAAAAAATTAGGCACAACCTATAATCGTTTGTTATGATAGTAAGACAAAATTGCCAATAGAATTAAAATAAGTTTAATATACAGTTAATATATAACCTGGTTTAGCAGTAGCGCATATATGTTAAATCTATTCAACTGAAGAAAACAAAGATCAATGTGAATTAGAATACTTGTTTACAATAGATTAAAATTCAGCTGTTACTAAGATGATAGTTGAACTCGGAGATTAAAAAGTTTATGGAGTTATAAAAGAATTAGAAGAGGCAAAAAAAGAATATGAAAAGGGATTATAAGAAGGAAAGACAATGGTGTTAAGTTAAGAAGATTCAAAAATATCAAATATCAAAAAAGTTAAAATTGGTTATTTGAATCCCATAAATCATTAAAAATTTAATTTGAATACACCCAACAATTATAAGTATTTCTGAATTAATTTTGGAAATTAGAATTGTCTTCTATGATAGATACAAGTTATCTTGCAGTTAATGAATTAAAGAACACATCTACAAATTATGCTTCATAATATTCTTTTGTAAAAAACCATGTCAACATTTAAGCGATGAAATTAAATTATAAGTAAAATATTACTGTAAGAATTAATATGGAAAAACCGATTACATATGCTAAATCTCCAACACATTCAATTTTATTAAATTCTGATATTAATGTCAAAGAAAAATAAATTGATTTATAAACTCCTAAGAACTAATCAATTATTACTTTGGATATGAATGATCCTGAAAATATGGCACCAAATAAAAAGTTTGAATTATTATTTTCCTCCAATGATGTTAATAACCCTTATGCAATACTAAGCCATACAAATAATGATGCTTTATAACATATCAAATATTGTGCAACTCTAACCCTCATACCAAAATTTAATGAATTTCCAATAGATGATGCCTATCAATCATATCTAAATGGTTTAAATTTATCATCATAGGCAAAAATCTAAAAGGGTTGTTATATATTTTTTATTGATCGTAGTGGTTCAATGGAAGGCATAAGAATTGAAAAAGCCAAACAATCACTGATACTGTTTCTGAAGAGCCTTCCTGAAGATTGTTCTTTTAATATAATTTCATTTGGTAGCAATGTATAAAAGATGTTCGATATTGCACAAGCATATAATTAAAAAACACTAAATTAGGCAATAAAGTAAGTTCAAGAAATGGATGCAGATTTGGGGGGAACTAATATTTTAGAAGCATTGGTTTAAGGCATTTATGATGAAAAATATTAAAAAAGCAAATATAGTTCAGAAACTTTAAATGCTTTTCTACTAACAGATGGAGAGGATTCTCCTGAAGATATCATTAAGTTAGTATCTAAAAATCAGAGACCTGAAACTAGAATTTATACATTAGGTATTGGGAATCATTGTAGTGAGTATCTAGTCTAAAGATTAGCTGAAGTTGGAAATGGAAAATGTTAATTAGTAGGAGATAATGAGGATATTAATTCTAAAGTAATAGATTTGTTAGAGGATTCCCTAACTTATTATTTAAAGGGATTTTCATTGATACATAATATTGAAAAAGTTTCATAGATTATTCCTGATCCAAAATCAATAACTTAATTAAAGAAAAATCAAGAGTTAACTTTACAAATTTTATTTTCAAAGAAACAGAAAAAAGAAAATTTAGAATTCAAAATTAATTGTTTTGATCCATAAATGAATAAATAAATTTAATATGAAGTTAAAATGAATCTTAAAAGTTCCAAAGAGAATGAATATTTTCATAAAATAGCCGCTCATAAACTAATAAGATATTATGAAAAATCAATTTCCTAATAAGCTCAATAAATGGAGACTGTTATGATCAATGAAAAATGCATTAAAGATTTGGATATTATTAATTTGTCATTATAGAATCAAATACTATGTTCTAAAACAGCATTTATTTGTGAAGTATGCTAAAATGAATAAAATCTTTAAGCACTGATAAAGAAAAAGATGAAGATTAACTTATGTTTAGAGGCAAATGATGAAGATTAAGCATTTCAAAACAAAAGAACTAAAATGTCATTTAGATCAATTAAAAGTTGTAGCAAACCTTCCAATATGATGTATTAATTGCAAGAACCATAAAGGGTGATGTGTTGCATGTAGTAAGAAACGATGTTATAATCAAAATGTCAAAAATTGTCGGAAGAAGAAGATTAAGAAAAACTCATCAGTTCACATAAATTTTAAAAATAGGATTTACAACAGTCCAAAAAATTTCTTCCTAAATAAAGCATCCTAAGTGCTCCAAAGCCAAAAATACTATAAGAGGATTAACAAATGATAGCATATTTTGAATTAATTGACTGCATGTAAGCAAATGGTAGTTTCCTATTAGAAATACATATTGAAGATTCACTAAAGTTAAGCAGAATAGATAATAAATATCATTTAGAAGATCTATGTTGGCCAACAGTGGTTTCTCTTTTTTATTTGGAATTATTTTGTCAGGATTCTAAGACTTCCTGGTAATTAATTTATAATAAAGCCATAAATTATTTATAAAAGAAAGGAGTTAATTATTTTTAGATAAAAACAGAATGCATTACAGATTATAGAAAACTTTTTTAGAATTGATAAATTTGATTATATAAAATTAACTACTTTCTAAAATATATACATTAATTAATATCATTTTATCTTCTTATTATTTCATAATCTATTATTCAATTTAGCTAGCTACAAAATTTTTTAATATAATTGAATCAAATAGATTAAAGTGTAATTATCATAAACAAATTCAATTCGTTTTGATCTAAATTTATTGATTAAAACAAATTTAAAATTTGTTGATTGTATTATTATATTTAANAACAGAAAAAAAAAAATTTAGAATTCAAAATTAATTGTTTTGATCCATAAATGAATAAATAAATTTAATATGAAGTTGAAATGAATCTTAAAAGCTCCAAAGAGAATGAATATTTTCATAAAATAGCCGCTCATAAACCAATAAGAAATTGAAAAATCAATTTCCTAATAAGCTCAATAAATGGATACTGTTATGATCAATGAAAAATGCATTAAAGATTTGGACATTATTAATTTGTCATTATAGAATCAAATACTATGTTCTAAAACAGCATTTATTTGTGAAGTATGCTTTCATGAATAAAATCTTAACTTATGTTTAGAGGCAAATGATGAGAAACAGGAAGATAAAGCATTTCAAAACAAAAGAACTAAAATGTCATTTAGATTAGTTAAAAGTTGTAGCAAACCTTCCAATATGATGCATTAATTGCAAGAACCATAAAGGGTGATGTGTTGCATGTAGTAAGAATCGATGTTATAATCAAAATTTCAAAAATTGTCGGAAGAAGAAGATTAATAAAAACTCATCAGTTCACATAAATTTAAAAAATAGGATTTACAACAGCCCAAAAAATTTCTTCCTAAATAAAGCATCCTAAGTGCTCCAAAGCCAAAAATACTATAAGAGGATTAACAAATGCTAGCATATTTTGAATTAATTGACTGCATATAAGCAAATGGTAGTTTCCTATTAGAAATACATATTGAAGATTAAAGTTAAGCATAATAGATAATAAATATCATTTAGAGATCTATGTTGGCCAACAGCGGTTTCTCTTTTTTATTTGGAATTATTTTGTCAGGATTCTAAGACTTCCTGGTAATTAATTTATAATAAAGCCATAAATTATTTATAAAAGAAAGTAGTTAATTATTTTTAGATTAAAACAGAATGCATTATAGATTATAGAAAACTTGTTTAGAATTGATAAATTTGATTATGTAAAATTAACTACTTTCTAAAATATATACATAAATTAATATCGTTTTATCTTCTTATTATTTCATAATCTATTATTCAATTTAGCTAGCTACAAAATTTTTAATATAATTGAATCAAATAGATTAAAGTGTAATTATAATAAATAAATTCAATTCGTTATGATCTAAATTTATTGAGTAAAACAAATTTAAAATTTGTTGATTGTATTATTATATTTAAAAAATTTTATAAGGATCTTAAGCAGTAAATGAGTATTTATTTTCTTAACTATTCTTAATTATTAAACACAATATTTCTTAAATCTATTATTAAATTGGTTGCTTTGAGGTGATTAAAATAAAACTAAAAAAATTATTAGATGAATTTATATTTAATTCACATTTTAATTCTAATCATTCATATTCTAAATTTACAATGGCCCATTGTAATTAGAGGAATATTTTGGATAAAAGAAATAGGCTTAAGTATTGAATTATTAATATTTTCATAGTATTCTACCTAATTAAATTGATTATAGATACAGTATTATAACTTTTCATGAATGGGTAAAGATGTAGTTTACTTTATTAATGAATTAAATATGGGAAGATGATAACAGTTGAAAATTTAGCCTAATCAAATTCTTCATCCAACCCAAATTTATTATTGATGATATAAAAAATATCATAATTGATTTATTAAAATTTCCATAGTTTTTTATAAATTAATCTCGAAATATACTTTAATTTAAAATTTTTGCATTCTACTCTTAATTTTGTCAATTTATTTGACACTAAAATTATTTAAAAAATCATATTTTTTTTAAGATCAACATAAATAGAAATTCATAAATCAAGCAAAAACTAATTAATTATAAACTTTTTAAAATATTCACTTTACATAAAAACTGATTCAAAATAAATTTAAAAATCCCAATATTTGATTTCAAAAATAAATCTGTTAATATATGTTATATTTTATTTATCATTTCTTTTATACATAATCAATTTTATAATCTTTCTAAATGTGCCTTATTGATAGAATCATAGAAAATAGACAAAATAATAAAATTAAATAATAAAGTTTGATTTATATTAATTAATTTTCATTTTATCTTTATCTTTGGATCATTAAATAAAACATATACGTGAACATAATGAACTAGGATTTGATACAATTTAAACTTTTTAAATTTTATTTCCCTATTGTTGTTATTAAGTTTAATTTTATTATTTATTATTCATTTCAATAACTTAAACGAATACCTCTCTAAGTTTTTTATCAGAATTTTCTATTATTGATGATGATTAATCATCTAAATACTTTAAAATAATTAATGTATCATTAGTCCCATTTATCCAATATTCATTTTATTCATCCTATTGATTTTCTATTTTGTTTAACTTACCTAAAAATTAATTGAACTACTAATTATTTTATTAATAGGTTTCTTATTACTACTACTTTGCAAGTTAAATTTCTGCAATTTTTACTTCAATTTCTAGTTCTAAAGGGCTAATTATATTATAGCATTTTAAGATATTAGTTAATTTATTAAGCCTAACCTTAAATGTAGTTTCCTTTTTTGATTCAATTGCATAATCGATTGCATCATTTATAATATTAAATGCTTCAATTAAAGTCTTTCAATTGATGAGTGTTGTCAGTTTGCTTCACCTTCTAAGAAGATAAAGAAGGATTAGAAGAATCAGGAGAAGCTGAATAAATCCAACAGAAAAAATCCAAGAGGAGGTAGAGGATCTAAAAAGAATTGAAGAAGCCTCAAATGAATATTATTAAACATTTAAACATTTAGCCATATTCTTTATACAAAGTTCCTTTTTTAAATTAAGCCTTAGCATCATTTGAGTTCAATTCAATTGCTTTAGTATAATCTTTTAATGCTAAATCAAATTTCCTCATACTTCTATAACACAATCCTATTTAGTTCAACATCTTGATTACCTCTGTTAAAATAATTTATAGCATCTTTAGGATCCAATTAATTAGCTATGTCATGATCTATTATGGCTTAATCTTTATTTCCTAAGCTTAAATGCAATAATCCTATAATAACCTCTGTTATTATAAGTATTAGCATCATTAGAATCTAATTCAATTGATTTGTTATAGTGCAATGTCTGTGTTTCCGATATTATATTATAAAAGGCCTTTTTATTATACTAATTTTAACACCTCTATTATTATATGCTTTAGAATCATTGGGATTTAATTCAATCGCTTTATCATAATCTACTAGTGCCTATTGTACATTATCTATGTCTTCATAAAGGTTTCCTATCGAAAAATAATATGTTAATTACCTCTATCGAAATAAAAATTAGAAAAATTAGGATCTAATTCAATTGTCTTGTTAAAGTCTATAAGTGTCTATTTAATACTTCCAATTTTAGTAAATAGAAGTCCTATTTAACTTGATAATGTAATAAACCTGGATAATTATATATACAAGCATCATAAGGGTCTAATTCAATAGCCTTGTTAAAATATATAAGTTCCTCCTCTTACTTTCCAATTTTATCTAAAAAAATTCCTATTTAATTAAATAACTTGATAACCTCTGCTCATGTATGCAAAAGCATATTATGTATCCAACTCAATAGCCTTATTATAATCTATGAGTGCCTAATCTTTATTCCCTTAGTTTTTATATAAATTTCCTATTCATTAAAATGATATGATACCTCTGTTACAATATGCCAAAATACATTTATTATCAATTTGAATCGCTTAATTATAATATTATAATGCTTCATCTTTATTTCCAATTGCATTCTTCACACATTCTAATTATAGTGAATATTCTTAACCTATTCTCATGTAAGCCAAAGAGTATTTAGGATTAATTTGAATGCATATTTCACAATCTTTTAAAGCTTCCATAAACATATTTTTTCGATAAAATCCCGTGGCTTAATTAATTAATACATCTTACCTCTATGATAATATGTTTCTTCATTTGATGCTCCTAACTCAATAGCTTTATTGAAATCTTCAACTGCCTGATCATACATTCTTTTTTTGAATATAATTCTCCTAATTATTTGTGATTAAAAGAAACCTCTCAATATTAAAGCCTTAGAATCTTAAGAATTAAGCTTCAAAGCATCATTTATCAATTTTAAAGCTTCATCAATTTTATTTTCTCTAAACTTTAACTAATTAGCAAATCTAATTATATATTTACAAAACAAGCTTATGATAATTCTTTTGCTAATTATTAGTTCTCTCTATTTTCTTATTCTTTACTTGAATACGGATTTGAATCATTTTACATTTTATATAAAAATTAATAATATTTTAGCTAACATTATAGTTTTTACTTGTTTGAAATTTTGCTCTAACTAAAATTTCTCTAATAGTATTCTTTAAAAAAAAAGATATTATCCATTAAAAATTCAAGATTGTTTTAATGAGAGCTTCTTAACATTTTAGAGAATTGAACTAAGAACTATTTGTCATCAATATTTACAACTTACATATATACTTTTCTTTTTTTTCAACAATAATATCAATAGATAATTTGAAAAATCTAACATTTTAGTCAGGTTTATTTACTAAAAAATGAAAATTTATAATAAATTAATAATTTTCTTTTGTAATAAAAATTACATTAAGTAAATGAGAATTTAATACAAGAATAACATTATATTTTTATATGATTTAATTTTTAATATTAAAAGCTACCTTATCTAATTTAACTTAGGTAATCATTATGAAAATTTAGTCTTCAATGAAATAGATTTATTTTTAATTATTTTACAATCCTAGGTTTAAGATTAATGAGATTTTCATGATAGTAATTTATAAATCTTAATAAAAATCTTTATTTTGATATATTAAATGTTATTATTTCGAATAAATGAAGATTTATTTTTTTTCAAATTATATGCTATATATAAATATTCTATTATGTTACATTTTTTAATCATTATTCATTATATCTATTTCATATTGAATATTATATTCTTATGGCTTAAAAGAATTTTTGTATTTCCTATTAATATAATTATCAATGAAATTGATTAAGAATCTAATAAAACAAAGAATCATTTTAATTAAATAAATAGTATAGAATATGATTAATTTATTTAAAATATAAAAAAAGAATACGCAATTTTCCACTAAGAAAATAGATATTCAATACTTTAGTTTATTGATTTGTTATTTTAACTTCTCTACAAATAATTTTAACCAAATTATAAACTAATTAACAGTTTGTATGAATATTATATTATAAAATTTAAATCAATTTATTAATTCAATTAAATAAAGCACTATTCTGTCAAATATATAAAGTCTAGGTTAGTTTTCTGGATTATTAATAATTAAAAAATTCACTTCAAACTGAAAACATCAACTAAAACTAATTTTAATATCACAATAATTTTTGTTTTTCGAAATAATTCTCATCATTTTTTCAAAAATTATCCAGTATCTTCTTTGCCGAACTAAATGCCTTCTGGAACTATAATTTTTCCAAATCTAATTATGAAGGTATTTAGA